ATGTTCTTATTCCTTTTCCATTTTTTTTTAGGGCATAGTTCACACTTGTATGTGGAGATTTGGTTTTACTAGACAATGATAGCGCACTAGCTAGGCTACTCGATTTGCCACCTTGAATCTGAAAAATACTCGGTATTAGCTTACTGACTTTAAAATAATACTGATACACCACACCAAGAATTACCTCGTCTGATGACGAACCAAAAGAACACATTGCATTAGCTCTCTTTCCAGAACTGCCCTTATTTACAGGAATTGTAGAAACACTTCCAAATGAATACTGTCAGACTCTTCTTCCTCCTGTACAGTTGCAAGGATATTTCCCTGCATAGGTGGGTCATCAGGATCATCTTATCTTTCCTGCAAATGACCATGAACATAGCATTAGTGATGTTCTCGCAAAGATGAAAGCATAGTACACAATATGATGAATACCTCTGTAATCTGCTGTGACTGTTGAACTAGATTAGCTGGAGACGGAGGAACATTTCTTGGTAGAGTTCTTCGTGCCTGGGGTGACTAGATAAATTCAAAATACATGTTACGTCTATAACATTGATACATATCATTGAAATATTGTTTGTATTACCCAACTTACTTGACAGGGGATTGGATTGGGGTTCGCAATTGTTGGCCATTGCCCACCAACAAAATGGCATGAACATATAAAAACATTTCCAGAAATTTTCCTTGGGGTTCCTACGAATCCACAGGCTTGCAGCCATAAACGACATTGGTAGTGATCTGCCGGAAGCTTGTGCATTTTACACCTGTGCACTTTAGTTGAATGCCTTGGTATGCACGTAACATACGAACACAGCCTCACCATCTGCATTCAAAAAATTAAAATCAGAGACAAAAATTACAGAGAACAAGAACTTACACTACTCTAGAAATACGGAATGCAAAGAATATTTGAAGGATTACATAGAAAGAACAGAAAAAATATATTTTCATCCAAAAAAGAACGGACAATAGCAGAATGGATTATTTTCTTACTGGCATAACAAGTTGAGTTCAAATGTAGAAGTAACAGTGAAATAAGCAAGTGACCATAGCCTCAACATAGCCTAACACCCATATTTCAGTCCTTTCACATGGAATAAATATTTCCATTCACGTTATATGGTGATAGTTACACCAGAATCGGATTCCTGGGGTGCTCACCTTTAAAATGATGTATAACACATTAAGTTTTCGTTCAGATTTACACGAGATACGCGCGATTCGGTGCCGGGGTGCGGACAGACCGAGCAGACGGCGAGCGAACAGTTGAAGGTTTGTGATGGTCCAGAAGCAGACTACAGACGGCGGCCATCTTGGATTCTTCTTGTTCTTCTAATTCGGAAAATAGCTCATTATCCTTGTATTTCTGATCTCATATCAAGACTGTTGCTTCGAGTTCTTAGCTTGCATAGGTAAAAAAACGTAACATTCCTTTAAGATACTGGTCAAAGTATTGTGATCGCAAAATATTCAATTGCACAACCGGGTATTATTTTTATGTGTTTTTTTTATTGGTAAGCCAATATTAAATTAAATCAATCAATCAATCAATGATGCCAAAGTATTGTGATTTAAAGTAATAATTATCTCAGTACATAAGTGTTTCTGCCGTCGTAGCGATCACTTTTCGAGCAAGTTCTTTGGAGACTGTCATATACCAGCCAAAATATTGTGATATCAAAGCAATTTTTGTACTTCTGTATTTATAAAAAGAACTGTTTTAAGATAGCAACAATATCTTGCATGATGCATGTGACTCGATCTGTCTTTTTATGATACAAAACGACCCTGAAATTCCTAGATCGCTCTATCAATTCTTTCTCGAGTTATCGTGCGGACAGACGGACAAACAGACAGACAGACAGACAAACAAACAAACAAACAAACAAACAGAATGGAACTTTTCCGACCAGTGGAGTATTGGGCTTCGCTAATCGCTCAGCCAACAACAGGTTATGGGCTCAGGTCTACGCTGTGAACTGTGATCATTATTTTTCTAGATCACACTTAAAATCAATGAAAAACTTGTGATTCTGTGGAGTGACCACGTTGAAACAGCATGGGGAGAACACGAAACAGCGAGGACGCCTCGTCGACTAGGACAGCCAGATACCCCGTCGGGAACAACTGTGGTGTCCAGTTCCCTGCCAAATGTGGAAAAACTTCGTGGAGTAGTAAATTGGCCAGATTGAAAGATGCGGATGGAGATACTCCTGGGGGCTGAGGACCTCTGGGACATCAAAGAGGAAAAGCCGGAAAAAGAGCAGCTAGCAGACAAGAAAAGTGAAACCTAAAAGAAGGATCAGACAGGGTTGAGTATTAAATTAATCTAAATTGAGTCAAAAAATATTGCACTTCACGTCACACCACAGCGCCATGAGCGTCAGCCAATGCTCGACCTAGCTCACGCTCAGGAAGCCGTCGACTGCGAATTTTGTAGTAGTGTTTTGTAGTCGGTAGGTGTCCCCAGCTGTATTAAATTCTGCCCCTTTTCGCCCCATTTAGCACCATTTAATTCTTCATGCCAACCCTGATCAGAAGGCAAGAATGAAAATCTTATTTTCTCATGTGGCACCAGTGCTGCGACTTATCAGAGGCGCGACCTCAGCGCATCAGGTGTGGTCGCGACTTGCTCATGCCTTTCAGGACAAGGGCGTCTACCGCCGGGCAGCTCTACTCCGTCAGCTATTAAGCATGTGCGTGTTGTTTTGGAGGGGTACTGTCATCGACATTTTACGATTGGACACGTGCAACGTGGTCATTTTCGCCGTATTTTCGTCGAAAAAAGCACTCTAGCGCCCAAACGGTGCAAGATAGAGGCATACGGACAAAATTTTCGTCCAAAGAGCTCTACTTTCACGAGTTACTCCTTAGAAGACCACAAAAAAAATTTTTTCCTACTTTTTGGGCCAACCCCTTTTTTCTTTGTTACCCCCTTTCACCCCCTTAGGGGTGGTTGCCAGGATTTGCTCCAGGCGTTTCGTTGTCCAGGAGTGACCCCTAAGATACCCTGAAATTCGTAGACCTCTAGCTCATCTCCTCCCTCTCACACGGACGACAGACAGACAGACGGACACGAGAGCGGTTGCATAAGCCCGCTTTAATGCTTTTTAAAAAGCAGAAGGGCGGGCTAAAAAAATGGAAAGTTTCCTCTTTGCAAGTGGTGTAAGAATACAAATCACCCTGAACGTTGGTGCTGCTACAACCATAAGCAGTGGAACAGGAAATATAATGGTGAAAATGATGATGAGGAAAATGCAAAGAAAAACATGCAAGACTCTGACAA